TCTAACTTATTCACACCTTTATCCTCTAGTATTTCCTTCCTCTGAATCAGTCCCAATGAGCTTTTGTTTCTACGATGCTTCCTTGGCATTTTGTTTTCCATCCTTTTGTCCTCTGCTGCCAAAATGGTGGTTGGAAGAGCTTCGAGTTCAGGTTGTTTAAGCAATGTGTGAAAAGGCAGATGGGTACTTTCTTCCTGATCATCCACAACTTTCTTCTGCATCTTGTCAACCTCACCATCAACACACAACTCTATCTCATGGATCCCGCTGCCCCTACTCGAATCTTCAACGTGCATGTCCTTAGACGGAGTCTGCATAGAAGGGGAAGGTGTGTTCAAATGGTTAGGTAGCAAAGGCTTTTTCCTGGAAGGAGGGACTGGTGGAGGACAAGCTCGCCTTGCAGACAGAAACACTGGCAGCCTATTTTCATTGCTGGGTTCGCTGATGGATAAGGATGAGCATCCTTTTCCGTCTGTTGATACCCCTACCTCTTTGACACTTGCTTCCCTCTTTTCCTGGACAGCAGTTTCATCCCTGCCCTTCTCCACCTTTTTCTGATGGGCAGGGACACATCTCGTGGGTTTCCATGGAACAGGAACAGGGTGAGGCTTCCTAAGGACTGGTGGGGGACGTTTGGGTTGTAACGCGCTGGTTTGCTCTGTGCCAAGACTACCAGCCTGTTGTCCTGTTTCACGTACATCTGGATGTATTGCACTGGACTCTATACCTTCACTTGATGATCTGGGAGATGACCCAACACTGTTTTCTGTACTGAGACTGTAAGAGTGAGAGTTGTGGTTTTGGGTCATGTTGACTTTATCATGATTGATGATGTGACCATTGCTTGAGGAGTTGTTCATCACTTGGGACTTGGTGTTGTTTGTTTTCCCTCGGTTGTTATCCCGAGAATCAAAAGACTGTATCGGGACAGTCTTTTGACTTTCTTCTGGCTTGTCTATGTGTGATGATTCAAAGTCTTTTCCCCCCTGCTCAAGCTTCTTGTTCTTGACGCATGCGCAGTTTTCTTGGCTGCACAGGCAAATGGGAATAATATAATCCCAGTCTGGCTTCGTACTATGTGAAATTCCATTGTGAGTGTTAAGAGTAGCGACTCTTTGATGGGTTTCTAAAGCAGGTTTTTGTTGCGTCCTCTTCCGAATCGGGGGCTTGGATTCTGAAGGTGAGGGAAGTTTAGCCAGGCAGGGCTTGGGGGGAAGCGCTGGTTTGACCTTTCTTGGAGGGCCAGAGGACAGAGGTGAGAGGTCATCTCTTCTGGGGACTGGACAAGGCCTCTGTTTGGGAATGAACGTTGGCTTGGGGGCTACCGGTGGCCTTTCCATGCCTGAGGACAGAAACATAGACAGGGAGCTTAAATGACAACACTCATAACTGGAAAGAAATATGTAAATAATTTAAGAGAAAGATATTGCAGACAAATTAGCATGTGGCTAAATCAATGTACAACTCCAAACCAAACACAAAGTAAAGCCAATGTCTTTGGTTTAATTTTGGAGTTCAAAGATGTGGATTTGATATTGAAAAAAAAAAGCACAGGATCAATATTTCAGCTTTTATTTTTGAAGTATTTCTATCTGTATCTGATGCACAACTTTGATTTATAGCCTTATTTGTAATGGAATACCAAATGTTTCACTTTAGAGAAATATTGGTGCATGTGACAGACAGATGTCTCACATTACGCTAATTACTCAAATAATAAGAAGCTGTAAATGTCTTTTCTCTGTTGCAGTTTGCCTGTGGAAACTTTTCAGCTGAAGATGTGACCAGCATAAAAAGAAGCGAGCAGTCTGTGGGTGGAAGAAAAACATCAAGGAAACTGAGTCAATGCATTGACATTAGCAGTGAACCAATTGAAATGCCCTGAAGAACAAAGAAACCACTGGGTTACTAAGTCAGAGATAACAGCAGCTGATGACTAAAATACTGTGTGAGAAAAAAAATAATTACAGCAACTTTTGTAAGCAGCAATAACCTCCGGATGGGAGGAGTGAAGGTGCCACAACGTGCTGTACTGTTCCAAGAGGAGTTATATTCATACAGTGCAGCCCTTCCAGCATGTTCTCGGTCTTTTTTCTGACAAAAGCCTCCAGAGAGCAGTGCAGAGGAAGAAACCCATCAGTTGCAAACCTTCCCCATCGTCTGATGATGTAGCTCCAAGCCGTGTCTACTGGGTGAGTCCAGCCAGCTGCTCAATTCAGCCTCTTGTATCCAGAACCTCATTCTTTCAGTCATGGCCAAAGACGACGGTCAGACTCGAGGCTGACTTTTAAATGGACAGTCTAGCCTCCTTGCTAAGGTCTTGAGCCCCCATCTTGATTTCCATTATGTCAACACTTATGACTGACACAGTCACCGGGTTGTTGAAGGTAAACCCGGTTGATCCGGGTTGAGATCAACCCTCATCCCGGAGGGAACAGTCCACATTATCAGAACCATGGTCTTAGATTTAGAGTCTTGAGTTTTGATCTAGATTGTTTCATAGTCAGCCTGGATCTGCTCCAGCCCATCCTGAAGACGGAATCAGATCAAAGACAATATCCGAAATATTCCAACCAGACGCCATTTTCTCTGCTAAGACACCTTGGCAAGATCCAGTTAATGACCCAAAACATCAAAGTTATTGAGGGGCATTTCCTCACCTAATTTTTTTTATTTTGGTGTTCTATTTCAACAGATGTCTTTTTAGCTTGTGTATCAGATCCAAATGTGAATACCAGATAGTATGAGTTAAAATGTTGAATCGTCATCCCGCGCTGTCAAACCCTTGCTTGGCAAAAAATAAAGAATAAGAAAAATTTAAATATCTGCCTCACTGCTCACTCTGTAAATCTACTGATCCCAGCTACTAAAGGGCCCTAAGAGGCACCGGCCAAAGAAGTTTAAATGTCACATGGCTTTCTGTGAGCCACCCCACTACACAGCACAACAATCCCACTAATGGCTCATGTCAACAGGCAAAGGAGGAGGAGTTGAAATGGGAGATGAAGAAGCTGGAGGCGAGCTGGAGAGGAAGGGGTGTGGGGAGTGTCAAAACAAACTCGCACATCTGGCTGAACTAGTGTCCCAGAATCATCTGTGCAGGGCAGAAAAAAACAAAACAAAACACACACAAAAAAAACATTCTGCCATGTTGACAGAGACATGGCAGGGATGTAGCCGTCACACAGTTCCTTGTTTACAATGGCACAGTGAGAACACCTGAATTAGAATAAATCATTCAGGAATTAAAAACAAAAAAAATACTCCATGTGTGCATTTAATCCGCAGCTTAAAAGTCTGAGATATTCCATACTTTAAAAGATCTTTTAACGGTACTGTTGAAATAAGAATACAAGGATAAGCGTGCAGAATAACAGATGGCTAATTTCTAAGTTTACTTATCTTACACTTAAAGTTACACTCCAATTTCTCAGCTGTGTCATCTCTTCGGGTTGCATTGGCTCAGCTGAACCAGCTGCCACAATCAAAGCGTTACCAAAAAAAACAGAAGAAGAAGTCGCTTTACCTGGGTTCAACCTGTCCTCGCTCACTTCGCCTTCAAAATGAAAACCGGAGCCCAGAACAAATCCTTCATGTCCGCAGACGCTCAGCGGAGGTTATCCGAGTCAAGCATTTGTTTTTAATTTTTTTTTTAATCCGTCTCCGAATCGGAACAGGACTCGTAACAGTTCGACCCGGCGGAGCGGAGCCGCTCGTGTCACCTGAGACGCGTCGGTGAACTTCCTTTCTGTTCCCCTCGACCGCCAGGGGGCGTCAGAGGGCAGACACTTCAACAAGAACCAAGACAAAAAGATGACTGGAGAGAAACTGAAGAAACTAGTGCTGTAAGCAGTAAAAGAAATGTACAGAATAAATAAATAATTAACAGAACGTTCTTCCTTGTCGTGTTTAGGTTATAGTTTCTTTAAGACGACTTTCGTGTGGCGCGTTGTTTCATTGCAAATTCCCAGTCTGGCGTCTTTCCACGCAGATCATCAGTTCTAATATTAACAGGATGACTAAGGAGCCACAAGTATGATTGGAATCAGACCGGGCAGACATCGTCGTCGTTTTACGTTCTGCGTGACATGTGGGAAGTACAGAGTGTCTCTCTTCCTGTCAGAGCCGCCGTCACGCTGTGCAGCCTATTTGTCAGCAGTCGGTTCAACTGATGAGCAGGAAATAAAACCAGAGAGAAACATCAGAAAAGATACTTGTCAAAGTGAAACAAACAAACAGAAAAAGGTCCAGATCATTTATGTTCTACTGGATCTTCTTATACTTGCAAATGTGATATAGGTCTACTCCCCCTAAACCTGTACACATGTTGCAATGGGCAACCATCTCATTCAAAGTGTTTTGTTGTGATGATCTGTCACTTGCCAGCTAAAATACCAGGAAAAAAAAAAAGATGCATCATTAGATTTTTAGATCTAAAATGTGAAAAGTCAACACTGAAGTCTATTGTCTCTACTAAATTTGCACATTATGACTAAAAATCTTTGCTCTTTTGTATGTTTTCAGTCCAAGTAAAAGGAAATAATCTTTAAACAAAACTGACCCAAGTCTTGACAGAGATTTTTTTTTTAATTAGACCTGGGTATGTACTTTGACTGGGCCGCAGCTCTGCATGAATGTGGCACCTTTGACCCCAATTTCAAGTATTTTGCACTTTAGCATGTTTTCTTCCAGTATTATCCAGCATTCAGCCTCATCCATCTTCCCATGTACTCTTCTTCCCTGTCCCTCCTGACGAAAAGAACCCGATGACAAAAAAAATGTATGAATGTTCAAGGAAACCAAGAGCTGATCCACAAGTACTGCTTTGTAATATGTTTTCTGTGGGGCATGCATGTCGAATACAAACGGGAACAACAGGGTATAATTATTTGGATGGCTCATTCATTTACATTTTTCTTGCTTTAAAAAAAAAGAAAAAAAGAGAAAGCATGGTAATATCACACCTTTAATTATATATCCACATATTGTGTTGGAAAAAAACAGTGAATGAATTTAAAAAAAACACTATAAGCACATAGAACTATTTTTGAAGCTTTAAATCTATTAAACAGATCAGTAGTAAGGGAGAAACTAGTTACATTTACTTGTGTACCTTTCAGGAATAAACATACTTTATGGTTTAGTTTTACTTCACTACCACCAGATAAGCAGAAAAAAATAGATGGATGGATTTACAAAACCAGAGTTTTTACGTTTACTTGAATACTACTCTACTAATACAGCAGCAACATTCAGTATTGCTGCTGTTTCCTGAGCAGCAGCCAAAACCCAGCAGAACTAATATAATCATGTTTTACTCTAAAGTACAGAAATGTCTTGGAAGCACATTAGCAAACACCAAAATAGAGTGTTTTAGAGGGAATAGATATTTGCATGACATGTCCAGTCACTGCTGTTCATCAGCAGAAATGAGCAGCAGATGAAATCATGCATGTTGCAAAGTTCCTCCTTCCTTCTTCCTCAGAGACAGCCATCTTGGAGTCACATCCTTCTGCTCTGACGCAATCTATGCTTCTGTGGCTGCAGGAGCTTTTACCACATCACTGTGATATTGACGTAAAAAAAAAATCTTACGTTGGTCAAAATGTCATGCGCTTTGAACCCATCTTTTATCTATAGCTTGAACGGACACGAGGCCACATTTTCTCAACAGTTTCTGGAACCGGTGACCAACTGGAGGGACGTCTCCGTCCTTACCGCCCGTCAGGGTGAACGTGGTTGGCACTAAGCGATACCTGAGCTTGTGGTCAGCAGGGAGGCTCAAACCCAGTCGAGAGGCTCTCCTGGTCCTGCAGATTTGCCGTTGAAGATCCACAGCAGAGCAGCTGTCATCTCTGCGTATGTAGCCCAGAAACAGCAGCTTCCCCTTGAGGTACATCTTTAGTGCACACACACAAAAACAAAGATTTTATATTCCAATATGGGCGTCGCAAATTTTCCAGACAAGCAGCCAACGGACTGACGTGACTTGAGAGAAGCTCTGGTGATCCACGGCTCAGGTGGGAAAGCGTGTCTCAAATCTGGCGAGGATCATTTAAGAGCCATAAAACAGATTTGAGCTTTTTTTTTTTTTTTTTTCGATCGCCCATGTTTTGCGCGCGCTAGCAGCAGTTCTTTCTGAGGATGAGATCCCTGTGGATGCAGAATTTAACTGCTGGTACAATTTCATGCTGCGTTGACTTTGGTCACTTTTGTCTGATTTATGGAGAGAAGAGTCATTTTTCACTGCACGGCACAAATCAGTCAAGCAGATATCGTGGCTTTGGGCCAAAGATTAGCGATGTCTTTAGTGATTAAGAGGCAGCTCTTCTTGATGCTTGTCAGCACAAAGTGTCTCCGGGATAAATGTGAGACACCTCTCCATCACTAACCCCTTTGTGCTCCCTCACGAGAGCTGCTGCTGCCACCATGTGGCGGCCTGAAGGACCTGCAGCGCTTGAGCACGCCGCCGCCGCCTTGCTGCAAAGGCTGCAGTGAGCTTCACTTACCAGGAACATCCCAGGAGCGGCACCGTGTCGCTGCTGCAGCAGAACGTTCTCCGGCCCGCGGCCCGCCACCCCGTCTGACATCTCGTACCTGACCAGGCGAAAAGAGTCCATCTGGCACTGAAACATGAAACAACCTGTTACAGGGGTTTTCTCCAAACTGCTGACTGGTCTGTGTGTCAGTTTCTGTTCATTTGTTTATGCAACACAGCTTCTATCCTTGAGAAAGCGCATCAGCGTCAATAAAAATTCCTGCTGATTGACAACAGTGATGCCACCTGATGATGATGCAAATCCCTTCTGGATAAATTAGAGACTTAGTTTGGCATTCATGCGTGGTTATGCATGCATTCATCGTTCTTTTGACTGAAAGTGCTGCAGAGTGTCCTCACACCTGGGTGCACGGCATGGTCCTCTGCTCATTCCTCCTCCTGTAGAGATCCTCCAAATCATCCCACCTGCCTGCTGCGTGTGTGTTAACCGGCCGCTGAGGTGTGGTGACACACATCACCAGTATCTGCCTGCTGTCGAGAGGTTGGCCCGTAACGAAAGCGTCATACTCCAGGTCGGTGACCACTGGCATCAGCGTTGCACTGCAGCAGCACCTCCTCCGCCGCTCCTCTCCCCGCAGGGCAGCTCTCAGCAGAGCGGGGCACGTCGCGAGAGGGACGGAGGGAGCGGCGGGCCCCCTGTCCGCAGGGCCACACCTGGCAGGAGGAGTTTCAGGCTCAAGGCTGCGAGAGAGAGTCACAGACCTGGCAGACGATCGACAATCAAAACCAGATGCTTACATTCGCTTTGTGCAGAAACACACACCATCAGACTCAGCGTTTCCTGTTTGAGGTCAAATTAAAATTATATGTTTGCTGCATTCCTAGAATGATAAAAGAGGGATTTATTTTATTTCATGTTTTCTTTCTTAGAAATGCTTACCCGCTTTCTTCACATTCGTATTTTTGCTGCTTTTAAGTGAAGCAGAAACACACCTATTGATGTGCGTTTTTTGTTTTGTTTGTTTGTTTGTTTTTATTTTTCAGCTAACGGCTCAAATCCAAACTGCACCAGGGCACAAAATCTTACAAAGCATTTTTTGTCTAGTTTCTGGTGCAAAATTAACTTACAAGTAACTTTTCAGCAAGAGACATGAGCTTGTTTTGAGTCAAACATTCCTTAATATCGATGAAAAAGTACTACTTATAAGTAAAATAATCAACGAGATAAACAAGACTTTATTAGTTAAAATGTCTTGCTCTACCGGCAGATTACTACTTACAGCTAATACCTTTTCATCAGTACTGAGGAACAATTGACTTAAAACAAGCTCATATCTCAGTGAAATGTCTCTGATTATTCTAAGATGGAGGATGTCGAGATGTTTCTGTTAATCCTAAACTGACCTAAAACAGGAAACTTCTGTCTGATTTAATACCAAACGTGAAAAATAATTGCCTTTTGCACAGAGGGTCTTACCCTGGTTCGATGTTGCCATGAATTCGAAGGGGTCCGATTTGTGTGACAGGAGGCTCCTTCCTGCTTTCCTTCGGTCTCCTCGAAACAAACAGATTTGAACTGTAAAACAATCCTTTCTTGAGGTTTGTATGCCTTTTTGCATGAAGTTTTGTTGTTGTAGTATTAGTTTTTTTTTGGATCAGGTCCCTATTTCTGCAAAGCAGTGACTGGATTTAATTTAATGCACGAGTCAAACTTAAGGCCCGTGGGCCAAATCTGGCTCGCCAGTTTTTTTTTTGTGGCCCTGTAGATTCGAGATTAAACATTCAGTGTGCTTGAATATTATGTTATCAGTCACGTCAGTGCAAGTTTTATCTGCTTACTGCCAGATTATATAAATCACTCCCTCCAGTTTCTTGAGAATCATCGTGGAAATTCACGCAAAATCAACAAATCCCAACTTGCAAAATTGGGAGTTTAGTGCAGAATTTTCTGAAATTGTCAGAAACTTTTTTACTTGTGATATAATGGCTTTAATTTGGTAACAGTCCATGATCTATGCAGTGAGTAATAAAATGTCGCATTTACAGTCACAAATAGGCGCAAATATGGGAAATATTTCCAAATTCAAGCACTTTGATTTTTATTGCAAAAAAATTACAAAAAAAAAATCACAACATCCTGGGGGGACTGAAAAGATGATTAATAATAATAATAAATCATTTTAACCCTCTCAGGCTCAAATTATTTGAAAAGACTGTTTAAGTTGTTGCAAATCTGCAACCCCTGCCTGGAGAGGGTTAAGAATTAATTTAAGAGTTTGTGAACAGGTTTTATCAATACATTCTGGAACAACCGGGCCTTTAAAAGCATTCCTGTATCTTGATTTGGACCTAAACAAAAATGAGTTTAAGGGGCTAAACAAATTTTCTATTCATTTCACAATGAATATTTAATTAACTCTAAATAAAAAAATAAAAAAAACATTGAGGTTTTTTGATCAATTAGGAGGTGGTTAGTGAGGTAAAAGCAAATAAAATATTTTTTGATTTTTATTGGCCGAATCCTACTAAAAGTCACCCTGATGATTTATTGATGAGCTAATAGGACACCAGGAAAACTCTACATCAGTCAGCACCTCTGCATCTGGACGAGGCGGTCGTGACGTCTCTCTGCTGATGCTGAGTGGCGTCCGTGACTCTCTCTGAGCTCAGCCCTCCTGCCTCTCCCGGCACGCCGCGGCGCAGCCGCTGCGCGTTTGGGCGAGTTCGGGGAGGGTAGAGCGTTCGACTGTGGCGTTCGTCTCGGCTGGGCTCGCGGCGGGGCCCCTGCCAGTCGCTCCGCGTCAGGACACTTGATACCTGAAGGAGAAGAAGAGGTCACTGACGTGCGCAGCCACCGAGTGACACGAGTGACCGTGAACAGGATCCTGATGGAACTATTCAATAATGTTGAGTTTGCAGGATGAGGCGATACTGGAACGTTTTAGCTTCAGCAAACTACGCCTTACAAGCCCACCGGGTCGGATTGGCTCGGCGTTCGGTTTCTGCGCTTTGCACCGGGGAAGAGCTTTCTGAAGTGTGCAAACACATTATAGTCGCAAACAGTCATCAAATACAGAAAATTATGACAAGAAATGATTATCCCGGCATATTTCTGGCGCCCCGTCTAGTGTGGCACCCCAATGTGTTGCATAGTTTTTGCGGCACATCCTTGCACCATGAAACGTGCCTGGCATTCAGCATCCTTGTGCCGCGTTGTCATACAGTGATGATGTGTGGGTGAATTCAGTTTGTGGTTACCGACAGCAACGCGATAATAATCCAACCAGCTCTCTGCAGCATCCCGAACTCTCTGCTGAAGCCCCTGCAGCTCCCGCACGGCGTGTCTCCGTCGTCTCCACAGAGCAGACGGCTTCACCTGCTGCTCCTCCTCCTCTCTGACCACCTGGTGAATGAAGCCATAGAAACTTAATTGAGGCACTTAAGGGAGATGTTCATATCAAAAAAAAAAAAAAATGTTCATGTCAAAGGTACTGATAAAAAAAACAAAAAAACATTAAAACTGTGATTTTGATCTGAAATCCCTGCGTTCTGATCAAAGAGGTGTGTAAAGTACCCCAAAAATGATGCTTGAGTAAAGTAACTTTTACTACGGTAAAGGTAAAAAGAGGCAGTCCAGGAAATCACTCAAGTTAGAGCAAAAAAGTATTTGATAAAAATGGTACTCAAATACTGAGTAACGGATCAAAACATACATTTTTTTTAATACTTGAAAATTACATCAACAGACGAACTAAAATATAAAGCTAAGTGGAAATTAGCTTTATATTTTATATATAGGTTTTTTTTTTATAACATTATTACAAAATAAAGAAAAATTCAGCAGTAAATGGTTCTGGTGCAGTAAATAAAAGATCCTCACAGGTGTTTTCCTCTGGCTCATTTTGTTCTCTGAGACGCCAGCGGGACTTTTTTGCTTCTGTAGCAGACGAGGCTCCTGAGCAGCACCTGAGCTGCATTTGTTCTCCGTCTGCAAACGGGGCCGCATGAAAAGCAGATTTCAGAGAGGAGAACCGTGACGGAAACCTTTTTTATTTTAGTAACTACAGGAGAGCTCTGATCTCGCCATTTTCTCCGTCTGGCCTTTGTTGGTGATGAAACGGAGGGGGAGGTGAACACGCTCGTCTTCGCATCGGAAGCTGAGCACACCCGACTTCCCACTGAACAGCTTCACTGAGATTTCCTCAGAGACCTGCGGGAATCAAAGAGAAGAACAATCAGACAATATTCAGTGAACCGAATGAGCGAGTTCATACTCTGATGGCCAGAATCTCACGGTTTGCCGTTTTCAAGAAAACGAAATCCACTTGACCTACCAGGAAATCTCAAGACAAAACGCAAACATTTCCGTTGCCATTTCTACAACTCACTACAGACATGTTGTTCAGCATGTCTGTGTGAACACTTCAACCACATCAAGGTTGTTCCAACATTTATGGCGTTATTTCGTTTTTGCGTAGAAAAACAGAAAACAACTTTGCTCATCTTTTGTCTATTCAGCTGGTGATTCCCACCCGCATCATAATATGTCTCCTCGGTGGGCGATATGTCGGCCAGCTCCACTCCTCCGTTGTGTTTCCGAAATGGTCGAAGCGGAATCCTCCGTCCTGATCCCACACGGCCGAGATGGTGGAGCTGCAGGAGCAACCCAGCGAAGTGATAACAGGGTTAAAGCTTTACAGTACTACTCCTGCATTTGTAAATGCAGACAGAACAAATTAAAAAAACAAATAAAAACATTATTTTCTGTTGTCATACAAATATTGCCACCTACCTCGATCATTCTTTACAGCTGAGAGAATAATTACTGACCCTTAAACAAAATATGAATATTGAGTGACTGAAGCCAGAAACATTGTCACCGGAAACGTTTACGAAGACGCAGCTATGAAAAAGTTTGAAAAGGAAAAAAAAAAAAAAAGACGCCTAACAAGAATAGAAAGCAAAAGATAAACAAACCGCAGGTCTGAACTGACCTGACGGCGTCTGTGACCGCCCCGTGTCCAGACGCCGTGATGGTCAGGAGAACGGCGGGACGCTGGCCGTCGCTGAACACGTTGGTGCAGAAACCTCCGAGAGGCAGACCGGAGCGACTCTGGCACACCGCCACGCAGCCGGACGGGTAGCTGAGGCAGCCAGGTCAAGGGTCAGCAGGTCAACTCCTCTGACACATTTTACACCGTGTTTACTCGGACCTCCACTTCACATGAGACGATTAGTGAAGGATACTAGATGAACGAGGAGCCGTCGTTCATCCTGTAGTGCAGCTTCCTCTGCACTGGATTCTGCAGACTCTCTTCTGGTATCAGGGGCAAAACGTCAACCAGAGGGGCAACCGCCGTCCTTCTACTTCTTCTGTCACCCCTTCCATCACCATAGTGACGGAGAATCAGAGCTGTACTCGGATCTTGCTCGGGTGGAGGCAGATTTCTGAACATTAGGGCCATAATGATGTTTTAGATTCTTTCTTGTGTAGCTACAGTGCCTTGCTAAAATATTCATAGTATTATGCAGCACTTTACGTTGGTCTTTCACATAAAACCCAAAATGTAAGGTGATAAAGTACAGTCACTCCTCGTTTAGATTCTCTTTGGCTTCTATTCGCAAGACCTGCATAAAGGAAGGTGGCTGTTGTTGAAGCTGCAGAAGAAGAGAGTGAAAACCCACCGGGCCGCCCTCAGTCGCTCTGCCACCCACCGGCTCGCTCTCGTGCTCTCAGGCTGGTCACAGCGGCGCTGCTTTGGCTGAGCGATCCCACCTGGACACACACCACATTCCCGCTGAGGCAGCAGAAGGTGCAGCAGAGACGCAATCAATAACACAACGCTGCAGCGCCGCGTCGTACCTGCGTCCTCGCCGCTCCGGACCGAGACGGAGATCCTGACGGCTGTGGAGTTCGGAGCGGGAATGAGTGGCTTTGTCATCCAGGTGGCCCGGTGTCATTTTATTCACGCAGGTTAGATTTGTATGAGCACGTAAGTCAATGAGCCAGGAGCAACTGGATAGCCTCGCCACCGTCCATTAACACAGAGGAGGGCCTCTGCGCTACACTCACACACCCGATCTGGTAAACCAATACCTTCACTTCCACAAGGCTGCAACTAAAGCGGCCCTACCGGAGCGTTTACAGCCACGAGCTTTTACTGCAGAGTCTGTAGGTCGGCTGTGGAGTAAATACTCAGATTTTAGTTTATTTTTAGGATGCTATTTATTTCTCTTTTAAGCACAATCTAAGATGTGGGTTCGGAAGACACTTGATGCTTGCCTGGTTTCATCCTGTTAAAAGGGAAGTGCTTTCTCCCCGCCGTCGCCACGTGCTTGCTCAGCAGAAGGGATTATTGTGAAGTCGGTGGCTTGATAACAGATAACAGATGTTTAACAATTAATTAACTGAATCTGGTGTCAACACATTCCAGCAAATGGCTACATTTGACTGCATCTAATTACCGTATTCTTCAGACTGTAGCGCGGTGGTGCGGCTTATATATGTACGTTTCCAAGTTTTTTCCAAAAAAAATTACAGTGTGGTGCGCTCTATAGTGGGGAGGATACAGTAGATCTGAATATGACAAAATGATTATAATTCATTGGTTTTGTTTGAACGTAATTGTGACCAAACACGATTCCCACACCATCAGGTAGGTATGAACTAAACCTGTTTATCTGATCAAATACATTGTACTGTGATGAAAAAATATATCATTTGTTTCAATCAAACAAAGGGCTAATTATCCATTTAATGCTGGAAGAACACTTAGCTATTAATAACAATAAAAGAAAAGTAACATGTTCAGGAATGCGTCATTGAGGACAAACCTTATAAAAGGTGCATTTTGAACAAGACAGATATTTTAGTCATCTTGCGTCTGTGCTCGTTTTCACGTCTCCATCTGAACTCATTGGATTTATATTTCTCATCCTGTTTTGTCTCAGTTTGAACATTCAGTGGTAAAATGGGTCTCTTTGAGACTGATTGTGGTCTGTCGGTGTTTCTTTCACTGTTTTGCTTCTCGTTCTAGATCTTTCTGTTCCTTTTTGGACCGTTCTCTGCATCGCCTCCATGCCACTTCAACTATTTTGAATTTACTTGTTCCTCTTTGAAAACTCTAGAGATATTTTTGTCGTTGTTGTCTTGTTTATTATATATTCTCACTACTCTGTCGTTAAATGTCACACTTTATTGTTATTTATTATTGTACTTTGACACATTCTGATGTTTTCATGCATAATTCTTTAGGGCACAAATTCACCTCATGCCAAATTTACCTCCTTTTGAGCTTCGTTTTTCCTTTCTTTCACTCTGATTTGCTTTCTCTCTTGTGAGAAATAAACCAGAGCTCCTCCCTCCTGCCTGCCCCCCGGCGCCGTCGGACACCCGCCAGGGTGTTTTCTGCGTCTTCGGGGATTCTGTGGAGCTCCTCGGGTTCCCTGTCGCCGCCGCCGGCCCCCTCCGGCGGAGCGCCGCCCCTGCAGTCAGATCGTGCCAGGAGCAATTCAGGATATTGAGGACGCCGCGGGGGGTGCGGTCTTCCTCCGACCACTTGTGCTGCGAAAGCAGACGAGCCAAGTCGTTTAGTAAATGCGGGGCCGCTCGCCTGTAGGCATCCATCGGATCCTTTGGCGCGGCGCAGACAGATGACGATGATGACGATGAAGGATCACGTCCTTCATCCCCACAGACCGTACTGGAGGGGTTCTGGTTGCTTTTGTCCTTTTGGCCCTCCTCTTGCTGACTGTGAGGAAACGGGTCGTCGCGTTAGACGCGCAGCTCAGCAGCAAAACTCACAGGAAGGATCTTACCGCCTCAGAGGCGCCTCTTCCGGCTGTGGGCCCGCGCTCCTCATCACGGCATTTAAAATGTTGCCTTCAACCGGGTTTCGCCTCGTTGGCTGTAGGGAGGTAAACGATGAACGTGGATTAATTTCTTTAAAATAAATAAATAAAAATGACCGCTCATTTTTATTTATGAGCGGTCATAATAGCGGTTTGTAGAGTGAATGTACGGAAGCCTCACCTGGTCAAAGAAAAACACGGGGCCGCATCTGGTCGCCCGCGCGCCTGCAGAACCCGACATCTGGAGGAAACAAGCTGGACTTAAGCGATCAAATCGATTTGACTATTTGAACACTTTTATTTTTATTTAGATTAATCAATAACGTTCTTATAGAAGTTCAACACCCAACAGACACTGAAACGATGTTTGTCGGTTTATTGATCAGTGTCTCACTTTAGTATAGGCTTTGATAGCTTGGATGCTAACAGATAGGCTATTGAAAATGATCTTTTTATTTATTAATTAATTTATTTTTTAACAAACTGAAAGTTTCTTCAATATCAAGTCTTTATGTTTAGGGCTTACAATGACAGACGGTTTTATTCATTTTTTTGTTACACCCAGTAAAAAAACAAAACGGCGAGAGAAAAACATCTACCTCCTACTTCCACAGACACCCCCCCCCCCCACACACACACACACACACCCCACCCCCCGCTGCGCTCACCTTGTTGCTAAGATACGCGCTCCTTTGCACACGTCTCCTGGTTTGCGCGTCGTCGATTCATCAGCTGCAAAGGGTGTCTGTCACGGTGCAAACAGGAAAACGTCATTCCCGATAACAGTTCGGGGCCCTGGGACGATTGTGGAGCCGCGGGACAAGAACCGTGCCGGCCGGGCTGCCGCTGCGGCAGTCAGGTGTTCACCGCCAGGTAACCCGAAACCCTGACGCGCCTGGAGGCTCAGAGAAAGTTGATGAGTGCAACTTTGGGAGGCCCCACGTCATGACCCCCCCCCCCCCCCCCACACACACACACACACACTGGGGACCAAAACAGGATTTGACTTGAAGTCCCGTCACTGTTTTCCCTTTTTCTTGTTTGAACTTCATGGATTTCACTACTCACTCAGTGTTATTCACAAAAATGGCCACAAAAATGTGATTAAGCTGCAGGAGCAGAAACAAAGAGTCTGCTGAGGTTCTTTGTTTGACCAGCATAATCTTGCGCATGTCCAAAACTGCAGCTGCAGCGTTCGGGGCCTTTAGTGGACAGAATCTGTCAATGGAGGTCTGAGCATGGGGCCAGGTGAGACCCAAAAGAATGCACACTGATCTGCACCTTGAACAGGCTTTCTATGACTTCTATACTCACTCCTATGAGTGTTGGGTCGCTGAAGGCTGCTGAGAATGAGATCTCAGAAGGAGGAGCTCGCCCAATGGAGCCCCCAGGGCCGGACTTACAAGGATGTGGGCTCCTGGGCCGAAGCCAGCTTCGGTGCACGATCCGCTAAGGAAAATGTGCTTTACTAATCCAAACTGCAATAAGTTAATAGGTAGTTCTACACATACACATACGATTTGATGCATGGAAGGTTAAATATGCCTCCTTGCTAATAACGCCATGTTGTTCCCAAAGAAATCAACTATGACTTCATAATTTTTAAACATTTGAATATTGCTTATCCTCATAAAGAGCCTAAACTATCCAATCAATCAATCAGTCAAATTTGATTTGTAGCACATTTCAGCAGCAAGGCATTTCAAAGTGCTTTACATCATAACAAACACACAAAAAACAAAGTCTTGCAACATCGAATGAATACATTAAGTCAAGTTCCATCATTACATTTTTAATTGATTACATTTCAAACACAATACTAAACAGATGCGTTTTTATTCGAGTTTTAAAGGAAATCAGTGTTTCAGCTGTTTAACAATTTTCTAGGAGTTTGTTCCAAATTTTTGGTGCATAGATGCTGAATGCTGTTATTGCAACTCACCTAATTTGAAAAAAAAAAACACACAAACACATTCATTGAAAAGACAATAATATTTGAGTGAAATATAACATAAATATATATTTGCAGTGGGTTATTACCCCTTTAATGCAAGTCTGGCCCAGGTGCCACTGGTTCACTTATGTCTGTGGCCGGCTCGGGTTGAAAAACCTGCTACTGTTTTGACCCAAAATATTGTTTTGTAAAATCCCCCTCCGCAATTTTCTTATTGGTCGCCACAAAGACGCAGCATCTCCTCCCTCTGTTCTCACCAGGTGAAACTGTCGTTAATAAGTCATTACGGTCCGCTGACTTTTTTTTTTTTTTTCTTTTTTTTTTTTTTTTTTTTTTTGTTATCCGCTTCGACCACTTGGAGGCTCCCAGCAGCCTTACTATGCGTCACTGTCTCCTCTCTTCTCAGTCGTTTGGCGATGGCGGAGCCGGAGCGGCGGCGCGAAGTGGAGCCTCAACTTCTCAACGGGGACGAGCTGAACGACGAGGACCGAGAGGAGGCGGACGCCAGCGAGGCGGTGAAGAGAAGGAGGAGAAAGAAGAAGAGGAGCCGGACGAGCGGGCCAGGTGAGGCGCATCACTTTGGCACATGTTGGGGGTTGCGGGGTTGTGCGGGGTTGTGCGGAGGGGGGGTTCAGAGCGCAAAATAAATGTGGCCCCCCTTCTTTATTTCTCTCTGGCTCCGTAAAAGAGCGTAAAACACAGGCGAGTTTCCAACCTGTCAGAGGAATTTTTTCTTTCTTTCTTCTTTTTAGGCTGCAACTCGGTTTGGGGGGAGTGATCTTTAGAAAATGATTCAAAGTTGTCCTGCAAGTACAAAATGAAGGGATTTCATGTTAATTTAGTTTCATTTCATTTAATGGCAGCAGCAACAGTTCAGTGCAGGAACGAAAAAAAAAAAAAAACAAAAGGAAAAGAAGAGAAAAGAAAAGAAGTGACTGCATTATGGCTACTTTTTGGAAAGAACGAGGCGCAAAATCCTGAACAAAAGGCCGAGCTGCTTTTGCTGCATTAAGAGCCATGTTTAGACCACAGCACTTAATGTCATAATGCTGCAAGATACATATGCCCTTGAGGATAAAGACTAAGGTGTAGTGAAGGAATTATTCACAAGCTCTGCCAAGTTCAGAACATAGCGGATACACTTTCTTGGGATGAACCACAAATAATCAACTCTGTGTGTGTGTGTGTGTGTGTGTGTGTGTGTGTGTGTGTGTGTGTGCGCACGTGGATGCACAACAGTATGTGACTTTGCAGCAGGGACAAACGAAGCCGAGGGAGACTCTGGAGAAGCCGGAGGTGTCGGCGAAGTGGCAGCGCAGCTGGAGCAGCAGACCTTGGAGGAGAAGGAGAGGCCCGAGGATGCAGAGGAAGGTATCGCCTTCTTCTCCCACAGTCATCCTCACCTGCAGCAGTGATGCTGCTGGAGCTCAAAGTGTCGTAAAAGTGCCACCGCGAGACTCAGCCGCACTCCGTCTGCAGCGTGATGTTTGATTGCCGAGCGGACGCCCCGGGGCGTGAGCCTGTGTGGAGCGGGGGGGGGGGGGGGGCTTGGGTTCCCCGTCAATAATATTTCCTCGCTTTAATAGCTGCGTCGCAAACTAATGGTTCCTTCACCAGATGGCGATGAAGGGGAAAACTCAGCTGTCAAAAAGAAGAGGAAGAAGAAGAAGAAGAAAGGAGGTGAGGCGCTGCGAAACGGATCTGTCTGCAACCAACTAACTTACTCAAACACTCAAAACTTCTCCGCGTTTTAACATGTGACAACTTCTTTTTTCATGTACTTTTTTATTTTTTTGAAGCTTTAGTTTGTATTGCGGTCCAATAACATAATAGTGTACAACTGTGAAATGGAAGGGAAAGGATGTGTGGTTGGCAACGTCCTCGGAAAGAAATATAAATATAGAAAAGCTTAATCAGCCCTCTTTACTCTGATGCAGGCAAATAAAATGAAGTTCTTTGAAAGCTTCTAACATGGCGCTGGCAGCATTGTGCTGTGGGACTGCAGGATCAGGGAAGTTGGTCAAGATGAATGGAAATAAGCACGGTTAAAGACTGGGGTGAAAGGTCACCTAGCAGGAAACCTCAGCAAGCTTAAAATGAAATCAACCGTGTTCACAGAACGGCCCAGTTAAAGTCCAGACCTAAGCCGAATTGAGACTCGGCGGCAAGAGATTGAAAACTGATGCCTACACAGCCTCTGTTTCCTATCTGGGGTTAAGCTTGTTTGCAAAGAAGAATTGGGAAACATTTAAGTATCTGGAGGAGTGAAATATGTCAGAGACAAACCATAAATCAGAGAGAAAGGCGGTTCTACTCCGGGCACCGAATACTGACACACAGCAAACCCTTAAGAAAATTATTTAGACAAAAAAAAAAAAAAAAAACATTTTGAAAACCACAGGTCACCTTCTATTCTCATTATGATTTTACACCAAATCCCAATTAAAGTGACAAAATGTGTATCTAGCATGCATGCAACAACAATAAGCAATATAAGAGACAACAGATGCCTTCCTTTAGTAGCAGGATTTGTGGTCTGAAATGTAAATATCAGTGTTCATTAACTTGCTTTCCTGCCCTGTATCCCTCTTCTTTCCTGCGTTTCCACTTTCTCTATCTGGGCCACAGCGAAGGGACAGACTGACCCTCCCTCAGTACCCATTTGTGAGCTCTATCCCAGCGGGGACTTTCCAAAGGGAGAGGAGTGTGAATACCCCCCATCGAAAGACGGGTGTGTGACCTCCACACTTGGCCAGAAATCTCCTGCAGTGCCTTCATTTTTATTCTTCTTATTTAGGTCCCCACATGAACCTTGAATAAGTCTTTCTGCAAAAGTGTGTCTTTTTGCTCGTAATAAGTGCCACAAACCCCTCTAGGCGCAGCGCCGCCTGGCGGACCACCAGCGAGGAGAAGCGGGCGATGGACCGGGCCAACGAGGAGATGTGGAGCGACTTCAGGCAGGCGGCCGAGGCCCACCGACAGGTGCGCTCCTACGTCAGGAGCTGGATAAAACCGGGGATGACCATGATCGACATCTGGTTAGAAACGAGCCGCGAAGCATTTCTTCAAAGATTCGCCGCCTCGCGTTCGTCGTCCTTCACCGTCCGTCTCTGCTGCTTTCTGTTGGCGGCAGTGAGAAGCTGGAGGACTGCTCCAGGAGGCTCATCAAAGAGGACGGGCTGAGTGCCGGACTGGCATTTCCAACGGGCTGCTCCATCAACCACTGCGCCGCCCACTACACCCCCAACGCCGGAGACCCGACCGTGCTGCGCTACGACGACGTCTGCAAGGTCGACTTTGGCACCCACATCAACGGTAGGCGTTCTTTTCCGAGCTGCGCCGAAGAAGAGAAACATTTTTTCAGTGTCCTAGCCCAGTGAGAAACAGCTTTTGTGTATAACAACCATGAGTTTCAGTTGTTTGCACCCAAAGCATGTTGTGACACTACCACCACATTTTAATTGATGCGTCAACACTAAATGTCATTCACAGAGGGTAAATGAAACATGGGCAGTGCTGGGACATTTTTACAAATTACGCCTTAAACGTAAATATTGTTCGAAAGAGGAAAGGGGAGATCCACTGCTGAGTGAAGATCTGGACGTCAGAGGCTACAAAAGGCCTTGAACCAGGTGGAGGTTCACCTCTCCGCTGGATAATCATCTTAGACATGAATCCAGAGTCACATAACTTGGATTAAAAAAAAAACCTTTGTCATGCGTTGGAAGGGTCTAGTCAGAGTCCAGACCTAAAATAAATCAAGAGTCTGCGACAAAGGCTCTCCATTCTAACATGGAGGTATTTAGCGAAGCAAAATGGGGAAAAAAATGAGACACACTTCGAAACAATTACAGAGAAAGGTGAAAGGTCAGATAGGTTCTGTAAAGTATTGGCTGAAGTCATGCCACACTTTTTATTCACTTTATTTATTTATTTTTGAAAGTGTAATTATGTTCATTCTTCTTCCCACTCCACAAATTCTAATCTACATGGAGGGCAAAATAGGAAACGCACAGCAAATGCTGACGTTTTAGAAAAGTGATCATTTCATGCGATGTGAGAACGAACACTTAAACCGTTTCATCTCTCAGGTCGAATAATCGACTGCGCCTTCACCGTCACTTTCAACCCAAAGTACGACAGACTGCTGGAGGCTGTGAGGGATGCGACAAACACCGGCATCAGGGTAACACCGTTTTCCTCTCTCCCCCCACACTTTTTAAAAAATATATATATATCTTTCTTTTATAATAAGACAATTCAGGTACAATACATTTAATTAATGAGAGTCTACGTTTCCTGCCTTCCGGACATATTTACAGAAACCTTCTTACTTTACTAAACGGGGCTCGTTTGCGATTTCACCTCTACCGTGATGCCACGGTGCTCTTGAGAACGCTGCTTCAAAAGGCTGAATCAGAAAAAAGGAAAAAAAAAAAACGTCGCTGGATAAATATGAGCGAATGTAATGGAAAAACGCTCCGTAAGCAAACGCCGTAATTCACAGGGGGTAAATGGGACACGTCCTTCTGCGTGTGAGCAGAAGGTTTGCACGAAAATTGCACCTTAAAAGTAATTATTGTTTGAAAGAAACTGGAATAAAAGGGACCTTTAATACCTTCATCTCCGATCACATTACGCCACTTTACCTGTAAAACACTTTAAGCAGTAATAAAGCTGGCCGCAGCATTAGAGGATCAATTCATGTAGCGACATTATCGTTAGCGTCTCAACTTTAAGCTTCTGGTCCACTTGGTCCTGTTGGACCGAGACGATTCGTATCGGTGCAGCAGCTCAGAGGGACAAATGGAGCAAAGTTACTGGGACAAACATATATATATTTTTTTTAACAGGAAGACAAAGTTGGCGAAGGCTGCCAGTTGAAAATCAATCGACTGTGTTTCACTGCAGTTGGGCGAGCAGTGGAAGCAGGAGGACAGCGTCGTCTGTGACACCTGATCGAGTTCACTTGATTGTCAAGAGGTCCGCTTTTGCTCCGAATGAATTTCTCACGTGAGAAACGAAAAAGTGAAGCCGAGCGTCGTTGTTTTCCTCCGGCTCACCTCGTGTTGTCGCCTCGTTCTTGCTCTCGGTGGGATCGCAAACCTTTTATGCCAACCGACTCCTAACGTTAGCAAGAAAATCAAAGTTTGGACAGAGAACCCAGTTGTTAACACTTTTGCTTAGCGAAAAAGCAAAACTGCCATTCATCCGCGTACGAGTGGAAAGATTTGTCTCTAAAAACGGCACAAAAGAGAGATGACAGGGGAAAAAAACGGAAAACGGGAGGTCCAAGAACAGAGCCTTGTGGAATGAGAGCAGAAGACATAGAAATGATACAAATGTTCTATTTCAGAGCTAAGAACAGAAACATCTAAGAGTTTCTCCAGCGTCTTGATAAGGGCGACATTTTCAAAAGTATCAAATCAGCTTTTAGATCCAACAGGAGAAGCTATTCAAAATGATTTATCATGGCTACGCAAACCCAAAATTATCTTCAAGCAAAAACTGAGTTTGTTACGGGAGGTTGAAATGGAACGAACCCTTCGGTTTTCAGAGGAAATACAATATATTTCACACACATATCACCTGAGCCAGACTACTGGATCTCTCCCAGTGTGCAGGGATCGACGTGCGCCTGTGCGACGTCGGCGAAACCATCCAGGAAGTCATGGAGTCTTACGAAGTTGAAATAGATGGAAAAACGTACCAAGGTGAGAGGAGGCTCGCGTTTTGCATCCGCCGACCCGGTCGGTCTCTGTTGCGATCGCATGAATGAAAGCTGTTTCGTTTCCCTTGCAGTGAAGCCGGTCAGGAACCTGAACGGCCATTCGATTGGACAGTACAGGATACACTCAGGGAAGACCGTTCCCATCGTGAAAGGTGGCGAGGCGACCAGGATGGAGGTTTGCACTCAAATTAAGTCTTTGGCAAAAGTGATTGTTTCTGAACTCTGCCGCAGAAGAAGCCAAACGCAGCCGCCGCTGCTGCTGCTGCAGCTGCTGCAATGAGGCACTTCTCGGCTGTTTGACCTTGTAAATAAGCCTTTTTAATTCTTAAGTGTAATTGGATGAGGATTCGGCTGGTGAATCCTTTTGGCTTGCCAAAGGATTCACTCTAGCTGAAAACTGCCTTTGGCACTGACAAAGGACTGCTTTATACAAAAACGATAATTACACAAAGGGCAACGTTTAACCTGCTGCGTGCCAATAAATACCAGCACCAGATGAAGAAGTTTTGGTTCGCGTCACATCGACGGAGTCCTTAGTTTAAATGTTGACATCGAATCCATTGAGGACGAAGTGGGAGAAGGACAATACACGGATTTCTGGCTATTTTACAAATAAATCACTATGAAATCCTTGAATAAAATCAAGTGCAGCTAATTTCAGAAGGACTAAGGAGGATTTAATCTCAGGATTACTTATTCATTCCACTTTTTAAAACAGGAAGAGGTCAAATTGGGGGGGATGGATGAACTCTCCACATGTGCAGTGCGGGTAGACTCTCAAGCTTTGCCGCTGTAACTGTTGCAAAAGGTAATCGATTATACAAAGCATCAAAACCCTCCAGACTTTTCATTTCAACAGTTCATTTCCTCTTAAGGACACGTTTCCTCCCAGCTCACCAATCGCGCGCCGCGTTGCGTCGGCTCCCGCGCCCAGGCCAAGTTCTGCCACACAAAGAAACCGAGCCGCCTCTAAACACAGCCACAGCAAAACAGCTGCATTTGGACAGAAGCAAGCATTTTTAATTGGCAAGTTGCTGCGTCGAGCTTTTATTTTAATTTTTTTACCTGAAGGCTGCAGGAGGAGAGAGGAATGGGGGGATGGGGGGAGGTCGGATGCTGATGTGGCACCTTTTGCCACATTGTATTTTTAGCTGAAGTGTGTCGGTGTAACAGGGCCATTAGCTCTGCTTTTGTGATCAGAGAGTGGGAGTATAGCAGCTGGGCGCGCTGCAAGCACTTTGACTGATTATCGGCGCGGCGGCAGAGGGCGGCGCGGTGGCAGAGGTGCTATCAGCTAATACCACGGGGAGTGGGTGGGACTCCGGCACCGAGCCCGGGACGGCGGAGGCACAAAAAATGTCAGCAAGACGCAGCCAATCAAAGCCCGGGGGGTCGCCGCCGTCCTCATTACTCCTCGAGCGAGTAAATCAGCGGCTCTGACAGCTGGAGGTTTTTAGTTCAATTTACTCTGTCATTCCGCGGTGCCTGCGTCCTCTCGTTCCTGACATTTTTTTTAAAATTTTCGTGGTAATTTCTCACGTCGTGTCAGCGGGGTAATGGGGTTCTCTCTCGCTGCCTTTCAGGAAGGTGAAGCCTACGCCATTGAGACGTTCGGCAGCACCGGAAGAGGCGCCGTCCACGACGACATGGACTGCTCTCACTACATGAAGAACTTCAACGTCGGACATGTGCCGATAAGGTCCAACTTTCGCATTCGGTCCTTCTCAAATGGTTCATTTATTTTTTTTTTTAGGCCTATTTTATCCGTTGCAAAACTTGCCATTGTTTTCCAGACTGCCGAGGGCGAAGCACCTGCTGAACGTCATCAACGAGAACTTCGGCACGCTGGCTTTCTGCCGCCGCTGGCTGGACCGCCTGGGCGAGAGCAAGTACCTGATGGCGCTGAAGAACCTGTGCGACCTCGGCATCATAGACCCGTACCCGCCTCTATGCGACATCAAGGGCAGCTACACCGCCCAATACGAGCACACCATCCTCCTCAGGCCCACCTGCAAGGAGGTGGTGAGCCGAGGGCCCGACTATTAAGGTTTATCGAGACCCCTCAGGCGAAACCCGAAGGAGCGCGGCGGCTGAGCGCCTCCAGAGTGACTGTCCTTCCGGTCTGTCCTTCCGGCGCCTCGCAAAAGTATCCACAGCCCTCGGACTCGTTCGCGGACCGTCGTGTCACAACCACAAACTCCGTCGATGCGGCGAACGCGAATGTTTACGACATAGAAATCGGAAAAGAGCGGCGTTTTGATTCAGTTAGCGAACCGTCAGCTCCGAGTGCGGCTCTGCCGGCTTTGCGCAACCTCAGAGTGACTTTTTTTTTTTTTTTTTGCACGTTTTGCTTCGCAGAGCGGCTCAAGTTCAGTCAGACGGGGATAGATGGCGTCTGTGAACATGCAGTTTCAAGCCCGGCCAAGATTAATTGATAATCTCACCATTTCAGCATGGGGGATTTTGATCAAAATCGCAGCTCTGGCTGTACATATAGGGTAATTGTACTGCTGGTGTTCAACTAGTAGCTAATCAATATATTTTCCCACATGACCTGTGCATCTCTGCAGCTCCTCCAAAGGTACCTCTGATTGAAGGGCTTTACTTACTCAGTCTACCGGCTTGTTCTTGCCATTTGTTTGCTTCTGATATTAAATTGGACCGAACTTTATTCAGTACTTTGAGAAAACATTTGCGCTTGACTTTATTTTTGGGGTTTCAGAGCAAAGAGGGACAAAGACAAACGTATGCCACAATCTTTTTTCATTTCATTTTTGAAAGTAAAACCAAGCTTCATGTTTTCTTCAGCTTGCCTTGTGTTGGTTTTATCAAATAAAATCCCAATAAGTAGATTGACGTCTGTGGCGGTAAAGTGGAAAAGTTCCGGTGTGTCACACTGTAACTGCAACAAAGCAAAAACCTCGTGTCACGAAGAGAGCTTACTTAGTTTTGGTTTTCTTTTAAGGATCAAGCCAGCAGAAGAAAAAAAATATGGGTGTATCTTTAATGAATGCAGCATTGCAGGCTTAGTTAACAGCGCTGTTTTTAGAAGATATGCAAAACTACTTTATGCAACCAGAAAAAAAAAAGAAACATTGATTAGATAAGCAGCTGTCCAGAAAACACATTCAGCTTTACTGTCATGTTAGGACGTCTTGAAAAAACTGCTGTATGATGATGTTCTGCTGCTTTGTTTTCATTTGATGCATTTTTTCTAAAATAAATAAATAAAAAAACAAATTGTTATATATCTGGAACTACCATTCCTATATTTTGGTTTGTGGACATTATAAAACCCTGCATTTATATCACTAAGCTGCACTGATGGCTGTTCAGATTCTCTGTACTGTTTGAATTGGGGATAAAATAATAATTGCAGTCGACTGATTTCTAACTTATTTTTTCCAAGGATGTTTGAAATTTGGGTGACCAAAAAAAAAAAAAACACCCAAAATATTTGGTGGAATTGGCTGAAACTGAACCGTTTAGTGATGCAACAGCTGAATTGAAACGTTTTAGTCTAAATTTAACCACTTAAATGAATCAAGAAGCCAGAGTCCCATGATCCGGCGTATAAATAATTTGTCAATTAAACTTTTACATGTGTGGTAGTCACTAAAATTGTAACAAATATCTTTAACAAATGAAACATTTCATCAATTATTTACAAGTTTTAATTGTTTATTCAGTCCACAATTTAATAATTAACTGTCAAAAATACAAATAAATTAAAACGGATGTTGTAAAACGATGCGTATATTAGCACATTTATAGCAATGTAGGCCAATGCATTTATTTAATATCCATTTCTATTCTAATAAATTTGTTTTACATGTTTGACACAACAGAAGCTGCAACCTGAAAAAAATAAATAAAAGGATTTCTTATGATACAGCTCAGTGTTTAGTGATTTTTCTTCCCTCCTGTTGCATTTTTTAACTTGGTTTTCTGAAAGTTTGCTAAAATGCCATATGAAGAAGTGTCGACCTTCTGGGAGTGTTTTGTTATCTCCTAACCAAAAGAGGGCGGTAAACACACGGCTTAGTCATGTGAAGTAAACATATTCTGGATAGCCATCCTTCACAATCATAAACAAACAAGTAAAAAGATGACAAAACATACTAAGGATAGAAAACACAAATTATGGAACAAAAAACAAAGAGACTTACTTGGAATAAAAACACTCTTGAATAATAATTTCTTACTATAAAAGAACGTTTACCCTATTTTTGCATGTGTGTGTGTGTGTTTGGCTGATGAGTTCATTTCTGAGGAATTCTTTGCATCTCTGTAGGATGTTTGTTGCTCTCCTTGGAGACAGAGCATCAGACCTCTTCCTAATGGGGCGAAAATGTCCAAAAATGTCCTGTTTACTCTGGTTTTGAAGCACAGCCAGAAGAGGACACATGCTGAGCCAACGTCTGCACACACAAATATGGGCTTATGATCAAACTGGGCTCTCAGACGGAAGAGGATCTTTCGTGAAAGAGAGAGAGAGAGAGAGAGAACATCCTGACAGTAAGTAATTGGTTGGCCGAAGGATCTGTGTTCAACTGAACTGGATGAAAGGCTGAATTAGCATGTTGTCACCTTCCTAATGTAACTTGTTTTTTGTTGTTTTTCTGAAGACAGTGACTGGCAACAAAAAAAAGTCACTACCATCTTTGCCAAAAGATGAGTTAGCCAAAACATTACATCTTTTTTGGAGATATTATAGAGCTGAGAGGTTTTTCTACCAAGGAGTCACATGCACACACACGTTAATGTAATAATTTATTAATATTTGAGATAAAAGTTATTATAAAAACTGTGACTTTGAAAATGTTCAAGTACTTATCAATAAAATAACGCAGTGTGACTGTGTGCGTCTTTTTTCCGCCCTATAAGCTCCTCAGTGGAGGAGATGCGAGTCATTCACTCCAGCATCCAAGCAAAAACAGTCGCTCTGAAGATCGTCAGACCCTGATTTTGGTCCGACATTCAGACGGATCAACAAACCGCCCGCTTGTCGGTCTGGGCAGCGTTTTACCTGCGCCCACAGTCTTTTCTGATAACGTGAAGGAGTTTGCGTCCCAGGCTCGACTTCCACGGTTTAACAAAACTCCTGGTGTTCACCATGAGCCGGCCAGTTTTCCGGTTCTTATGGCCAGCCACGACGTATTCATCTCCTAGGGAGGAGGACAAAAATGTCAGATGCGATCAATTATCCAACACAGATGAGCAGCAGTAGAGAGAAGCCATCATTAAAAGAAATGTGTTAAACAACCACTGCTCCAGCTTGAGCTTTCCTTCTTCTCGTTGGTGTTTTCTTAAACATTATAACCACTTTATGTATTGCTTCGACCTTATTCCTGTTGAAAACGTCTGGGCCATGACTAGAAACGGGGTCTGTGCCAAGAGGTTCAAGTAAATCATTCAAAGGTTCTGAGTTGTCACAGCGTTCGCGACGATGCCGAACGGACGTAAACGCTAACCTGGGTTGAGGATGGGACACGTACAGCCTTGGACGGTCCAAGACTCGGGGAAAAGTGTGACGTTTCCGTGCTGGATCTTCATCTGGGGGTTCTGCTGTAGAACCTTTTTAACCTTTGCCTCCACCTCGGCGTGAGAGCCTTTATCATGAGCGGACATCACCTTCACCACCAGAACTGCAACACAAACAGTAGATTTTTTCATTCTTTTTTTTCTTAATTCTTATAAAGGTTATTATTTTTAGTTTAGACTAATTTCATTTATACAGACTTCTATGATAAACAACATCTGGATTCCTTCTTTTGGGCTGGGTCGTTCTGGGACGCCATCAGATATTTTAGGTCACTTACAAGTTGAAAACCGCAATGAAACAACTCATTTTCCTGCCTGGTAAACCTTATGCTCACAAACAACACGTCAGAGTCAAATGATGTCACCGTACCGGTACTGTGGGTGAGAGCTCGCTTCAAACTTCCCTGAGTTTCAATAAGATGATTATCTCACATCGTCCTGTTTCAGGTGTCTGGAAAACAGTTCTTTTTTTTTCTTCCAGTTTCCTAAATGCAGTCATATTCAATAAATTAGAATGTACGACCCAATGAGCCTCATTTGTCAGATTGAAAGTACTTTTTGAAAATAACCTATAAGAAGGTATTAGACATACTTTTCATTATGCCCGTTTGTTTTTTTAAAAAGCTTTCTAATAGGTCTGATGTGTATTCACTCTACAAACTTAATCTACTGAAAGTGTTTCACTTGGTGATAACGGTCCTACAATAACTGGGGTTTTTAAATAATATTACATTTTCAGTGAGGTGTGGCTCGTTTTTTTACACCAGAGCATTTCATTGAAAAATATATGAGCATTAATAAAACAGCTTAAGCATCTAAAGTTTATGCTTCTTTTTTTCCATCTTTGTAAATTTAGTTTAATAATATCAACACTGCCAACATGTTACACCTCATCTTTCTCCGCAGGTTTTTAAATTACATCTGGATTATACGGTTGCCTGCCCTCTGCCTCACACAGTGCGGAATAATTAAAGATTTCTGCTCACCGTAGTCAAACTTCGCTACGCAGAACCACTTAGGGCTGCCCAGGGTTCCTTCAACGCATTGGCATTTCTCTGCAGCACAGAGTAACAGCACGATCAATGTCAAATGGTAGTTTCTTCAACAGACGTGTGGCTGGAAACAGGTGACCAGTTCCTCACCAGAGTGGTGCAGTGCAGAGAAAAGCTCCTTTGCTCTTGAGAGTGCTGTCTCACTATCGCTGCTGCTGTTTCCTGGTTTTCCAGCAGCCGCATAGAGGACCTCGGCATCTACGCTGCACAGCAGAGGCAAAGTCAATTAGACGCGACACTATTCAGCGTTAATGCAGAAAAAAAAAAACTCCCCTCACAGTTTGTGTGTTGCCCTGTCTTGATTTATTTCTGCTGATTAATACGAAACACGTTCAGGCTCTCACCCAGACACGCAGTCACCGGTGTAGGGGTCGCAGTCTCCCGTGCAGTCACACGGACGGCAGCCATATTCGTGGAGCCCCCAGTATCCCGTTATGCACTTGTCACAGTGGGGGCCTTCCACACCAGGCTTACAAGCGCACTGCCCAGTGCTAGGGCCACAGATGGTGCCACCAGCTGAGGGGTCCGAGCCAACAGGGTGGCAGGAGCAGGCTGTGGAGCAAGACAGGTGCAGAACAGGACAAGTGCTTGTTAATATGTCTGAAACGTTTGCAACTCTGGCACTGAGTGCAATGAGAATTTATGGGCATTTATCGTATCGTTTCTGACTGATCGGGCTAAATTTCTCATGATAATAGTTTTGATTTATCACCGCCACAATAAATTCCGATTAGTGATGTGCAAAACCTAACAAAAATGTCCACGTCGTCAGGGTTGGTAGTTTCACTATTTTCGCCACTATTTGTTCAATGAAAGCACCAATAAAAATCAATACATTTGAATACAGAGCTACCATGTGGAGCTTTAATACCAAAGACAATCTAAGAAAATGCAAAATACCTTTTAGAATCAATTACAGCGTCTACAGGTGGTTTTCCCAGCTCAGCAAGAATGATCGGCGATTGGCACGGTAACATAAACAATGAAAGTCCTCTTCGAAAAGACTGGAGTTTCGGTGTTTCGATACAGCGGAAAGTGATGGGCGCTGCGCCGAGAAGCGATCAGCCTGATTCCTCCTTGACTCTCCAAACTGGGATCATTCTGACTTTTGCCTGCTGCCGGCGAGTCACTGACTGCTTCAGCAGCTACCTGGAAGGATGAGTGACGTGTTCTCAAAGGACGCGACGAAAACAGGCTTTACGAAAGCCCCGGTCTACTTGCTCCTCTCGCGTTCCAATCGCCCCCATTTGTGGCAAATGTTCTTTCCAAAAATGGCATGTTTGTTTGTTCCTAAACAAATGCAGCAGCATTCCGTTGGAGGGGGTCGGTGAAAGGAAGAACGGGAAAAATGTGCTCAGCTGGAGCATGAGAAATTCCTCTGCTGTTGGACCTTACAGCCACGTTCCCAAGCGGTGACGCGTTTGGCTCAGGGGGGGACAACGGATATTACAGCTTAAGATAAGGAAGGGGTCATCATCCTGTCACATTACTGATAAAGCAGCGAGGGATGCGCATGCTCTTATCTGAGAGATCGGCGTGCTTGAATCTGGAGGCCAGCAGGGAAATCAGCCTCTCAACGAGGCTTTTCTGCTGCCGTCCATTTATGGTGCGAGGCCAAAGGAAGGTCCAGCCTGGACGCGTCAAATGCTCTTACGTTTGCAGGAGTCCGGGGCGGTTTTGGGACGGCTCGGGTCTCTGTAGAAGCCCCTCTTGCAGTTTTGACAGTGACGGCCCTCTGTGTTGTGGAGACAGTGGTCGCACACGCCCCCTCTCCGCCGTCCCGTGGCCAGCCAGAGTCCTCGACTGAAGTGGCAGCTCCTGGCGTGGTCGTTGCACTTGCATTCTGCGTTCGATCAGACACGCACAGTTCAGTAAAAACATGGCGGTCAGCTTGCATCAGAGACTGTTTTCACCTTTTGCCTCAATAAAATGCAAATTCTGTGCTTTTTATTATCATTTCATGCAGTTGACAAACACAAAGTTTTCATCATTGTGAAGCGGAAATTGACTTGTTTTTTTATATCTCAGTTAAAAACCTTCTAATTCTAGAGGGATTGAATTGAAATAGCAGGAGGAACGAAAAGACAAATATTGATTCATTCGTTTGTAAATGTGGAAATCGCGCCTTAAAGATTTTCTATTTTTGAAATCTTTCTCGCTTCACCTCACAAATATGCAGCACTTTATCATTTTGTGTTCATATAACACGTTTACGCCTTTTGACGCAACAGATCACAAACAAGTTCATGGGGTGCGAACGCATTCAGCATGTGATTCACGACACCCGACTCATTTTCAGGACGCGTCGACATGCGGAGGCTCCCAATCTGCTTTTGCCTTTCTGGGCCCCATCACTCACTCTGGCATGCGTGTGGTGTACCCATGATGCCGTTGGCCGCCTGCCAGGGCAGGTCATTGTAGAGAGGGGCACAGCGCTCGCAGTGGTCGCCGGCCGTGTTGTGTCTGCAAACGCATTTTCCATGGACCTGCCAGTTGGACAAGAGACAGGAAGTGATTTTAAGACTTTTGGAAGTCGGATTGCACGCGCGCCTACTTCAATAAGCCTGGCGTTAAGAGTTTAGAGCCGCCGCCCTCCTGCTGCAGCATTGCGACATTGGCACGCCAGCTTTGTTTACACGGAGTTAAAAGGCAGCGAAGCACATCTATACTCCTTTAAGTTTTTTAAAACTACTGGTTTATCTGACATAAACCAGTAGGCTGCAGAGAATGAACACCTAAGATTAAAGGTCGTTAAAGTCTTAGGCTCAATGCTATAATTGAGATTTCCACATCGTTAAAGTCCCTGTAATGGAAGGTAAAACAACGGCTTGACGTCAAGTCTTCACTTCATCTCTCAGCTCAGGCAGCACGTAAAGTGGCACGTAAGAGTCAGCGTCGGTCTTCACTAAATCGAAACTCGCCACACTGCTGGTCTTTTCCGGGCCGGGTCGATAGCCTCTGGCTGGCACGCAGTGGTCAGCGTGTCCGTTACAAAGGCAGCTGCCTTTGACGACAAAATCATAGATAGCGTAGTGGTCCGTCGGGAGAGAGGCCGCTCCCGGATGCTTGGTCTGGCACGGGCACCGCTGTCTCTGCAGGAGACGAACTCTGAGGTTGGTGATGGCGAGCTGGTTCTGGGCAGCTAGTCCGTAGGGGTCCACCGAGCGCCAAGGGGACAGGGCTCGGTAGATTACCTGAAGAGCAAAGGACAGGGCAAGATGAAAACCAGACTTATAAGACGGTCTTAATTTAGAGAAAACTTTCAAATAAGTGTGACAAAAACAGCAACTGTGTCTCTTACAGTGTTGAAAAATGCAATTTCTCAGAAAAATTACTGTATTTTCTGAGAAATACAGTCTCAGAAAATACAGAGGACAAAATTCAAGTTGTCTGAGGTTTAGTGAGTCGTTGTCGCAGTCAAAGACTATCAGCAGAGTCGTGTCATCTGCTGTTTTCTGTGTTTTCAGAAGACGAAGGTCACTGCAGCTGCCTTCCAAGACTGCATGAAAATATGAAAATATTTCTGTATGAAAATATTATTTCACTGGTTTTACATAAATGACTCATTTGCCAAGAAGCTAGACTTTGCGTGTCTGTCAACTCCACGCCATAATCTCCACAATTAACAAAAATAAACACATGAAATACATCGTTCCGTGTGCGATGAACCTACATGCACTGCCTTCACTTTGTTGTTTCCTCTGCAGAATTTGAGTGCATTACTTTTCTGTTTCTCATACACGGCAAGAGGGTGAGAGAAGGGACTCTCTCACAGCAGACACGATGAGTGAAGAGTGGATTTGTTCCCATGGATTTAACAAAAGGTCCATTAAACAGCACGTAAATCTGCTGATTAGGAAAAATGGCACATGCAAGCAGAAAGGGTTTGTCATATGCGTTAAGACACAAAAAGGTTCAGTGACTTCAAACTCGTCTGTCAAAAAGCTGCAAACCAAAAAGCTGATTATGAACTAAACTGCTATGAGCTCAGTAGTTCTTCTTCTGAGGAAATTTTAAAAAATAAATAAATAAATAAATGATTTCTTCCTTCTGCAGCCGTGACCTGCTTGAGAATCAGACGTTTTTGTGGCTCGGACCCCTGGAGAGGTTCTGCACGTCTCTGTTCCCCTTAATAATAAAAATGGAAATCTTTTTTCTTAAAGTAATAATTTACCACATATGCACTTAAATTTTAGTGCTGGATGTGAGAAAGGTGGGCTGAATATCAAAGAATTGAGTCTTTTTGCATTCAAATTTTGCACTTGGCGCTCCATACCTGTCTCTGTGCACACATTTCTCTTCATATTCAGACTGAACTTTCAGCAGAAAACATCTAGCAATGAGCGTTTAACTTCAGGCATTATATATATATATTTCCTTGCCTCTTTTCTGTGCTTCAGGACTAAATCTGCTGCAGAAGTTCAGTATTTTGGTTGCATTTCACTGTGCTCTATTTTTGGCCCCCTGTTGCACGCTGAAGGGTCTCTCACCTCTCCTCTGGTGCAGGGGGAAGCTCCTGAGTACTTAGAGGTGCATGTCGCCCCGTCTTCCTCGAGAGGCAGACCCTCAGCCAGGCCGAACATCTTCTCGCAGTCCTGGGCGAAATACCCGAGGGTCCTCCATGTGCGCCCAAAGTCCTGGGAACGCTCCAGCAGCATGGCGGCGGGGCGCGGGGAACGGAACACCAGGATTAGATGAGTGAAGAGAAACTTGGTCTCCAGGTCCAGCCGGAGCGCCTCCTCCTCCTCCTCCGGCCCCTGGGCAGACTGCCACCAGGTGTCCGGGTGGCGGAACGAGGAGTCGCTCATAGCCGAGGCGGGGTGCGCCAGTGCGGGCTTGGCGGCGTCGCAGCTGGCGCATTCGGGCGCGGAGCAGGAGCGCCTGCCGCGGGGCCCGGCCGTCTGTCTGAAGAAGCAAAAGCGCTCCGAGGAGTTGGAGCCGCAGACGGACCGCGTGTGGAGCACTCTGCCCGCGGCCAGGTTACCGATGCGGGGGTTGCAGGCTCGGTCAAAGCAGCGGCTGTGCGGACCCGGGCTCTTCGCTTTAGATTGATCTGAGTGGGGAGTAGAAGAAAACTTGATCCTGGGTGAAAAGTTTACTCAAACTCAAGTTGAAAATCTGTAACTCACCGGCTGACAGGGAGAAAGATGAGCACGTCAGAATAAAAGCTAATAGAGTCTCCAGTCTCATCCTGCAGGAGAGGAAAACTTTCCACAAACTGTGAAATGATCCCTCGCATGCCTCCTCCTGACTTAAAGAAATAGTTTGGAAATATTTGCAGAGCTCGGATCACATCTGTGCGCGCGGACATGCAATCATTGTTGATCCTAATATTGTCTTAGAGCCCCTGTCACGTCATGCCGGGGTTCAGGACTCTCCGTGGAAAGTTTCATTGACATTGGGTCCCGATGGGGCTTTAGCCCCGCCCACTTCAGACCACTCCTACTGTAGCTCTTATGATAAGGCTGGAAGGGCTGCAGCCCCTCTAACCAAGTAAATAATACATCTTAAACGTTTTCTGTCATTTTGGATTAAAAAAATAAATTTTAAAAAATCTGAAATGCATGTTTTATAAAATGCAGTGCAGCCAAGTGTCTTCCAAGGCATCTTAAATAATAATTGGAGACCATCTGTGTGCAATTTTAGTCATTTTATCTCTATAAACGCAGCTGTTCTGTAAAAGTCTGAGAGGTTTGTTAGAGACATTATAGAGAGAAAAAAACCAAACAGGATCATGAAGACTAAGGAACACAGTGGACGGGTCACGGATAGAGCTGTGGAAAGATTCAGGAAATGAAACGAAGAGTGAAGCTTCACTGGTTCTGTATCCATCTGGAAATGGAAAGAGTGTGGACAGTCACAGAGCTGCCAGAACAGAGACGTCCTCCCAATCTAAACCTTTATACGCTCACGTTTTCACATGGTTTTAACGCTGTTTTTGTGACAACATGGACTAAGTATTCACCAGAAATTTGTCGCTCAGAAGTCTGATCTCCATCAAGTCATGAAAGCACACAACGCTGAAACCGAGAGTGACATTGGGCCATTTCTGTTTTTTTTTTTTGTTGTTTTGTTTTTTGGCATCTACTCTGTTACAGAGTCTATTATCTATTTCATAACCTTTGCACTTTTCAGTCAGGGTTTGAATTATCCTAAAATAAATGTAGTTTCTGTGAAGAACATTCTGTTCACATCAATCCTGAAACATTGCAGTTGTATTTCTTTTTTCTTTGGCATTTTCACAAGAAACGTCGACAGTTCAACTTGACTCTGAACGTAAAGATGTTTTTTTATTATTATTATTATTAATGAAAGCACATTTATTCAAAGAATTGAAACCCAAAGCGCAGAAGGGTAAAATCTCATAAAGGAGCAGCATGGCCTTTAAATCAGTAAATCAGTAAAGAAAAAACACATCTGGAAAATCAAATACTGCAGTGCTCAATCTTTTCTACTATAATCATCCAGACCTGGAAAATGATTATTTAAAAAAATCATCAATGCTTTTCAAGATTTTATGGGAGCCTCAAGTTTTCCACAAGCCATGTGGTGAAAACAGCAAAAATGAAGTTAATGCGAAATATTGACACGTCGACCTGAACATGTATGCTGCAATGTGACAGAATGTGAGAAAGTTCAAGGGGGCATTTATAAATCTTTTTCTCTCTTTTTTTCCCCCTCATTTTGACAAATCGGTGGCATTAGATGGAACAGAGCGTTCCGGCGCAGAGCGAGATTCATCTGTGACCAACATGCTGTAAGGAGAAGCTTGAGAGCTGCTGCCGGTATAAAACATTAACTGGGACATGAAGATTGCCTCCACATTCCTGAAACGTATCATTAGGACTACCTGGCATTTATTAACCACACCTCGTCTGTCTCCTCAGACAGACAACAGCCCCGGACCCGGGGAGCAGCACAACCCTTGACCCATTAATCATGCGGCTGCACGCATGCCTTCCGGCCCGTTTCAAAGTGACATCATCGCCTGACTGAGTCCAGGCAGATTTTGTCAAGAAAATGAATGAAATCGGTTTACAGTGTGTTTAGTTTGAATGCACAGGGTGGATCTGTTCGTACTGCGACAATCAGCCGCTTTGTTAAACAGCCTCCCATTCGTCAATCTGCGACGTGGTGAACATTCATAGTTTTATTTTAGTTTAGTTTAGTTTAGTTTTTTTCTTCCCTAAAGCTGACATTCCTGGAATTCTGCTGCTCTCGTCACAACGATGCTTCAACAGGAAACAGGCTTGATCTTGGAGTGTTTCTTGATTTACATGGTACGTTGAGTTCTTCCCAGATCATTTGTCTCACAGCAGGTCCCAATGAAAACTGCCTCAGGAAGGACGTCTGATCTCGCCTGATCTGTGTTGTATTCCCTCGGCGGGAAGAAAGCTCCGCACGTTGCAAGCAACTTCCTCTTGCTCTCCAAAACTCCCAACATTTACCCATATTAAGAAGAAAAAATGCAAAGAGTGGAATATGACTAACAGCCACAATCATTTCAGGGAGCTGACGTGATTTTGTTCAATCTGGCCATCAAACTGAAGCTCAGGAATTAAGGTACTCTAACGTTTGATTTGACTTGTAGTAAAACTTTACGGAGATTTGGATTAAGTTGCTAAAAAAAAACCCTCATATATGCTGATATTTCAAACTCATTTTCGACCTTAGCTGCTTCTAAATGTCGCCAATTCTTCATCATTGGACGATCTGAGGTGGGGAGAAATGGGTCCACCTTTGAATGTTTTGGTTCAAACTCAAGGTGAGGAGAAAATTGTAAAAAGTTTTTTTTTTTACAACCACCTGTAAAGCACGGTGACGGCTCTGTCATGGTGTGGAGTGAGCCTACACTAGGAGAGTTGATCAGCTTTTTGCTAAACTGAATGGAAGTAGAAATATCAGTATCCATTGCTTCCCATTGCAATACACCTAGATCACTACATGTTGATTTCTAAGCTGGAGAATGACCCCACATGGACCGAAGGGTCGCGACACAACAGCCTCCTGCTTGTCTCCAAAGAGCTTTGAGAAATCTTAGGCATCTGGAAAGCAGGTCTGGGATCTTAAGAAGGTCGGCTCAAACGACCCTACATGCTATTGTTCATCATTAAGTTAATCAAGTGCGTCTTTTTGATCTCCATTGTGCCTGAGGCGTCGTCCTTGACCAGGCATATGTGTGTTGCAGTGGTCTCCTCGTGCAATGCCTCAGTGAGAATGCCAGACATGGGTCAGACTAGCCAGCTGTATTTCCAGACTGTAAAAGGCGATGCTTCCCTCCTCTTGTCACCCTGTACCTCCAGCTCACTGAACCCGACAGGAATCTGTCTGCACTTGTGCAGAAGCCAGACAAAAAGCCAGAGAAGACCACGGGCTAATCAGAATTTCTCAGCTCATTTTAGCATGTTTACCTTTGGCAGATGTCACAGTCTATGTTATTTATTTTCTATCTTTGTCCATCTTTGTTTCTGTTTCTGCTCTGTTTTTATCACAGAAGGATTTCGTGTTAAACTTGTGGGTGAAATGCGGGCAGTTCTCTTGGAATGTTTTGCTGAATCGGACGCGCTGTTTGGTTTCATGAAATAGATTTGAAAAATAAAGCGATATACTATAGCTCGTGGTTACGTAGCAGGCCAGTCGCCTCTATTAAACGCGTAGAGTCGTCTGTGTGGCCAAGAGTCCCTTCGATAGCTCAGTTGGTAGAGCGGAGGACTGTAGAGGCTTCAGCTGAAATCCTTAGGTCGCTGGTTCGACTCCGGCTCGAAGGAGACGATACTTTTTTTTTTATTCATCGCTATGAATGTTTTCGGTCAACATTGACAGTTGTTTTTGCATTGCTATGACGCAACGCATGAACCTTAGTACGTAGGTTGCCCTTAACACGTTACCCGGAGCAGGTTGTATTATAAGGTGAAGGCGTGTTTGCGTCTCTGTGTGTGTGTGAAAGATTAATGCATAGCGCTAGAAAGGCTGACCTTCATCCTCAGGTAACATATAACAGACTATGCCTTTCGGTCAATCACAAAGCAGGCAGCAAGTCTCGTTCATCTTCAACACAAGCATGTTATCAGCTCTCGCGGTTACGTTTATAATTATAGTTTTGATAGGCAGAGTAGAATGAAATAAAAATATAATTTTGTCGTCCCACAGTCAGGGTTATTCAGCAGAAAAGTCGAGTCAGATGTGTTTGTTTAGCACATTTCAGCAACATGGCGCTGGAGAGTTGCTTGACGCAACAAAAGAGAGGAAGTGCAATTATAATTGTCTTTGTTAAGCCACCAGTTTATGCCACTGTTTGTTTGTTTGTTTTTGGGGCGGGGATGTATTGAGAAATGTATGAATTATATTTCTTTGAGCACTTTTATTTTGAAGGTCTTTTATTGCGCGCACCTTTCCACGTGTCTCAGTGAAGTGCTCTCCCTCACATTGCCGCAAAGCACTAAGAAGGTATACCTCTATTGTAGAGAAATTGCTTCGGATGTTTCTATCCTTTTTTTCTTCTTCTTTTTTTGTGTATAAATATATTCTATGTTATTCCACATGGACGCTATTTACAGTGCTCCTGTGACGCTTGGCTATATGTGAATATATATATATATATATATATATATATATATATATATATATATATATATATATATATATATATATATATATATAATTTACGTTTCATGCTCAGTGGGCGTCCTTTACAGCCCCCTAGTGGCGGGTGCCTGTTATTGCGCTTCATTTGTTTGCCTTTTTATTATTTGTCTGACAATAATTTAGTTTCATGTAGGAGTCAAAAGCGCACATGAAACCCAAAAGACAGCCAATGTGTGTGTGAGCGTGTGTGTGTTTCAGATTTTTAAGTCTGCCAGGTGTGTATTAAAACGCGTAGTTTAAGTAGAATTGCCAATTAAAAGTTGTAGTTTGCTATTAATCCAATGAGAATAGCTGTTTCTTTCTTGCACAGCAAAAGTTAATGTAACACTAATAACACACATCGTTGCCAAGCATTGTGGTGGGGGGGCGGAAGTTCACATGAAACCCACAAGATTACTGATGTGTCTTTTGTCGTCTTTTTGAACAAATGCAGAGCAAACAGTTCGCCCGTGTGTTGGTCTTCTGTATGTATCTGTTACACAATCAATCACTGTGTCTTATTCTCCTTCCACGTGCAGACCCTGAATTAAAAGGGTACTTGTCTCAAGAAAACTCCAAGCTCTGAAGCAGGTGAACATCGACACCTAGTGGTGTAAATGTGAACTGAAAGTAAAATAGAAACTACGAATGACAAAAAGAAAAACCCTGGCAAAGCTTGTGTAGAAAAGTCAGTGACTGCAGCCCCGACAATTCTATGAAGTTAGAAATATTAC